CTCACAATCTGCCACCCTTGGGGGCCCAGCATCATCTTGGCACACCGCCCCGTGTCTAACTTTGACACCATTTGTAGCAGCCCAAACCCACCGCTAGAAGATATTGTCCTCTTTGGGCTTTGCTTTTCGGACTTCCCCTCAAGGTTTTCAAAACGCGTCTCCTAGGGAGAGATTTCCACACCCTTATAAAAAAAATGTTTCGTTCCCCTCTCTACCCGACGTGAGATCTCACACTAGAAAAACTAGATTATAGAATGTGTTACGAGCTCTCTCATATTCTATCCTAACATTATAAGGTCTCGTGTCACATGGAAAACCTATTTGCTTTTTTATAGTTGTAGATACTCTTACCTCTTGTTTACCCACCAATTTATATGCAGAAATAAAGGAAATAGGCAAAATTCCAGTTTTGAAATTTGAAGTTTGGACATATCATAAGATTTATAATACATGAAAATAACAGGTTTGTCATTTCATTCAAATCTAAATGATCCTCCATTAGCTGCAAGTGTTCTTCCCAAGTTCCCATAACGCTAATAGATAGGCCTAAGCTTTGGATCAACTTATCCCATATTTTTGCAGAAGGAACTACTATGGAAGATTGGACTATTCATGACTCTGTAAAATGAAGTACATGCTATGTTTCTCAGTTCAAAAATGGTAACCGGAGTCAGCGGTGTTATCGACCCTTATTCGAGGCCATAAGGAGTGTTTTCGATCTAACTATGTCTAGCCAAATGCTGGAAGAAAATCTCTTCTGTACAAGAGAAAGTAAGGCCACCCATTGGATGATCATATCCAAACTCTTCTTCGGCCAGACTCAACAAGCTATGAAAGGAAGGATTGTTCAAATATGCAACAGGGACCAAAAATCTCTTCTTTTCAGTCTCTCCAACATATACAGCCAAGTGACCTTTCGGCACGACGGCAGTCCTCGACGACTGACGAATACGCCTCAAAAAGTGCTTGGCGTTTACAATTCTTGGCAAAAGGATACCCATTTTTGGTCAAAGGAATTTGGTTGGTGGTGGTAAATGGTAGCTTCTGTGATGGGAATTGGTGTTCTTGGAATTGTGTGTCTATATATAAAGAAAAGAGGAGTTGTGAGTTCCAACCTGAAAACCAATAGCCTTTTTGTAGTGAAAGAACAGCCGCAATGGATTGAGTTTTGGGTCATAATCCAAAAGGATCACATGGCTCTGTCCCCCAACAAAGAGCCATGGTGAACTTCATTTCCTGTTGCTAATCTCTTTTATCACAAACCATGAGGACCTACACTTCTCAGTCAAACAAATTATTTTTTGGCCATCATCACATTCATAGATTGTGGATCATTTGATAAAAAATAAAGGAGAGAGAATCATTTCAAGAGACCAATAAGCAAAGTCATATGGCAGATAATCTTTTTAAAAACGTAAATCAAAAACGATAGATTGTCGATGATCTTGACCAAATATGCATGTGCATGCTACAAGATCTTGGAACTTTGGATCCTAGCCAACAAATACATTATCATCAAATGTCTCATGTTTATATCTAAACCATTGGCCATATGAAGATTATAGGAACTTGGCCCTGAATTTGATGGGGTCATAGGTCAAGTAGTTGAAATAGCAAATAGACCAAACAATTTATTTCTGTATTTTCCTCTTTTATTTTCTTTTTCCAATGAAGAGCCAACGAAAAAAGAAAGAATACAAGAGCATCCAAAAAAAAAAAAACTGAATCTACAAAAGGGAAATCTATTAAAGAAAGAGAAAGAGACTCCCTTCGAGAAAAATAAGTTCTCGATTACAAAAAAGACTTCATCCCGACGTCCAAAGAGAAACATAGAACGTGACAAGAGATCAAACGTCGAAAGGACCCTTACCAATAGCTCTAAAGGTTCCATTATTCCTCTCCCTCTAAAGACTCCAAGCACAGACCCCAGCTTCCCACATGAACCTTCTGAAACAACAGATGGAGAAGAAACTCCTCGATCATCTCGTCGCAACTCTGTGCTTGGCTAACCGAAAACTAAACATCCCAAAAACGTTATTCCAACGAGAATGAACAAAAAGCACAACTCTGAAGAATATTTTTGTATTTTCATTTGATTTTACATATTTGCACCAAAAAAGAATATACCGAAAAGAAGTGTTAAATTTTCACCACAAAAGGTGCTTCAAAAAAGAAGCAAATCCATTCTTGATGAATCGAAGGATTTTAAAGACTAAAAAGTAGGACCTTATCCAAAATTCATTTCACCTAATTGTCTTTTTATTGTTGATTTTGAGTGTTTTTGGTCCATAATAATCCTCTGTACTTTATTTCTTGACAGTGATTTCATCTAAATGCTAACTTTTTCTAAAATGAATGATAGACAAAGTTCTAATAATAGCTTTATGCTATGCTGATCATAAAAAATCTAAAAAATAATTTTATAAAACCCGAAAAAAGAGACCAATTTGTGGAGACAAAATTATACTATGGGCGAGTACTAAGTGTGTCAAAATATCGAAGTGATTTGATTCATGTTGTGTTCAATAATGCACAAGACCTAGAATTGATAATTGAATAAATCTTTCAAAACTCATAAATTTCAACAAATGATTTATTTTACTATTTTATTTTAACAATTTATTGGATCAACTAAAAGATATTAATATAATTTCTATTAGAAAAATCTATTAATACAAAATATAATTAAAATCTATTGTCATGATATTAATGATAATATATTATATTTTAAGCATTTATTTGACATTAATAAATAATAACTAATTGAAATAAAACTACATCCACCATATAATAATAATTTTATATTCTAACAAGTTAAATAATAAAAATGTTGAAATAAAACTACATCCACCATATAATAATAATTTTATATTCTAACAAGTTAAATAATAAAAATGACTACTTAATATAAAAAAAATTAATAAACTAAAAAGTATTTTTATTTTATAAAAAAAAAAATATCAGTATAAAAAAGAATTTAAATACTACAAAAATACAAAATTCTAATAAGTTTATAAAAAAAAAATATCAGTATAAAAAAGAATTTAAATACTACAAAAATACAAAATTCTAATAAGTTTATGAACTTTTAATTTTAAGTTTATAGCTAATAGATTCAAATATATTATAGAAATTTAAAAATAAATTAGAATATTAAATATAAATATAAAATTTCATGCTTAATGAATGCTAGACTCTCACTTTTGTATGAACAATTTCGCGATTTTTTCAAAATATCAAATGAGTCAAAGTCCTATTAAAACACAAAATTGAAAGTTTAAGAATCTATTAGACATCTATTATATAATTTTAAAAGTATAGGGACCAAAAAAAAATCTCAAAGTTGATAAATTAAACTCGATAAATTAACGGGAGACAGATTTATATGGGACCATATTTTTAAAGTTGAAACACGTTTATGTGGGACCATACATGAGATTCTTGTAATCTTTATCCTTCCAGGGTCCAAGTCTACAAAAGATAAAATCTTAGGGTGTCCTCTGGAAGAAAGAAAAAAAAAAAAAAAGGACCAATCTTGAATGATAAACAATTGAGACTTATCGAGTTGAAATATGTGGAGAGGACGAGATGGTTGTAGGCCCTACCTAAACTTGGTTGAAATCGTTCTAATCTTAAACTAATAATTATATCAATTTAAACCGTTATCAGACAAGCATAGACTTCTTCTAAGTGGAGACAAGTCACGATGAACCTATCAATTTCGAAACTAATCTAAAAAAAACCAACATGCTAACATGCTTTCTAAAATGTGAATTTTTCCTTTTTTCTTTATTTTCTTTTACCTTTTTGAAGGATAATATTATTTTTTACCTTTGCATAGACTTCTCCCTCTCCTATCTCATTCTAGCTTTTTTTTTTTTTTTTTTCTTTGAAACTTTTGATCTACAAATTTGTTTATCTCTGTCCCAACTTCGATGACTCATCTTAAACACCATCGTTCATCTGTAGAAAGAACTGACGATATACCTTCCAACATGTACATCTCAAAAAGTTACATCTAATTTGGCCAACTGAGCTCAAAGTTATGATTTCTTAGACTTTAAACTCGATCATTTCGACTTTTGAAGACCTTAAAAATCAAGATGTTATAGAATTTTGATTTGTTTATATGCATGGTTGGAAAGAAGACAAAAAACAAATCGTAAGAAAACACAGGATTATTTAGCTAAAACGAACTTTTATCGAGAAAGAAATATAACCAAAATACAATCTTAAAGTGAGCTCAATCACACACTAGGATCCTAGGATTATACAACATGATCTTAGAATGTACAATACGATTCTAAGATCCCCCTATCGTATTGTACAATACAAAGATCGTACAATGCGATCATAAACGCTCTAAGATCATCTTTTAGTCATATTTCCCTTGAAACAAGTCCATTTCAGTTAACTGATCACTCTTTAAATACAATTTTTGTGTGTTTTTGTCAGCCAAACATATAAATAAGCAAAAGTTTAAAACAATCCAAAAGTCATAACTTTGAGCTCAATTAGCCAAATTGGATGAATTTTTTTATATACACTTTCACGTAACTTTTCAAGATCTACATGCTGGAAGACAGCTTATTCGACCATTTAACTAAGAAAAGATCATTATGGCCCTCAATTTAGACTACACAAAGTTTTTCATGGTGGGATGAGAGAGGAGAGAGGAATAGAAGCAGATAGAGTTGTAGAGAAGGGGAAGACAAAGGTGAGAAAGATAAAAAGGAAGAGAGGGAGAGAGGAGAGAAGAAGCTAGAAAATAAGATATAAATGAGAGAGGAGGGAGAAATTTTCTCTAGTAATTCAAAGGTAAAAAGATAATCTCACTCACTAAATTCCTTCTCTTGTTTATTGTTTTTATAAAGAGAATTGAAGATTCACAACCTTTCCATATCAACAATTCATATATAGATTATCACATTGAAAAGAGAATCTTAAAATTCAAATATTCATTATCACACTAAAAAGAAAATCATAAAAGCATGTTTCAGGCAAAGGCGATCCCAATGGATTCACTAATTTGAAGAAAGTGGAAGGTCACCGTTTGCTGCTTTATCGTACAGAATGTCAATCAATACAAAGAAAATGACTCAGAAGACAAAGCCATGTGGCTTCCAAAGCTTTCATCTTCACTCACTAAAAGTAGCATTTTCTATGATGTATACTATGCTTCCCCCACCTTATCACTACATAAACCTTCTTGTTCATTGGATCTTTTTCAGCCCTAATACTTATCCCTCACCATCAAACTGCCATTAGTTAGCATTTGATTCATAGAAAGGAATTAGAAATCAAGATCATTGTCAACCCGGACCTTCGTTGTCCAAAAGTTGTAGTTTACTTTTCTCAGAGTCGACTCATGGCCTTGGTGCCTGGCCTTCTCCAACAACCACTGTCCAAGGTGGAAAGTTGACAACCGTTGAGATTATGTTTAGAGATAAGATTTGATAACCACAAAGAATATTCTAAAGGATCTGCTAATCCTGTAGTATGATTCTCAATCATGGACTGCCTACCCACATCAACCGAGATGGAAGCTCGCAATCCCTCCCTAATCCCACACGACTTCGATCCTTCCAGTGGAGAACTAGATCATGGTATTGAACTTGGCATACCAATGCCAAGGACAGCTAAAGATTCAAATGCAGAAGTATCCATTCCAGTACTTGACACAGTAAGGTCATACGGATTTTGTAAATGCCTCAATAATTAGAACTAATGATATGAGTTGAAGCTTCGGTTGTACATTATACTTTCAAAAAGTTCTCAAAGTTCATGGAGTGATAGTGATGCCATTGAATAGGCATCGCCAACCTGGTTGAACTGGACATCATCCTATCTCTAAAAAGTGATAGTTAAGATATTTTCGCACCTAGTTCGTCACAGCTTCTACTTTTCTAAATCCACATGACGATCGACACCAGCATTTATTATATGTCCTGGAAGCATAAATTCTTGATGATGCTTACGAAAATCCATTATCAAAGCATTTAGTAGCTGGGTTTTAAAGTGTTCAAAGGACCATTAAATCGATAGAAAGAACAAAATTTCACACTCGAGCATCTAACTCTTGCAAAAAGTTTCGATAATGAGTACTATTCATGACTCTTCATGGAGATACTGTCTGCAGATGCATAATTTAGCTGGGTCACTGCTTTCTTCAAACTGAGGGACCCTTGAGTGAACCAAATGAACCCACAAAGACTGGTTGGCTAGTTGGCAGGGGATTAAAAAAAACAAATACAAATCCGAAAAAGCAAGAACCTAAAGAAGCAGTCCAAGTTCAGTGCTTAAGCAAGTAAACTAAAAATGGAACTTAAATTTTTTCTTTAATTGAAGACATACTACATGTTGCCAAGAACATGCCCAACATCAATAATTTAGTGCTTTTTTTTGCATTAGAGGCTCAAGGATTCCCAAGTTGCCATTCCTTTTTCTATTTTTCGTTTCTACCATTTGTGCAAGCAAATGGTAGGCCATTGTGTTTTGCACTAAACAAGGCAAACCATGTGAGATATTGCCAATTTCTTCACCTGCTATGTTTTCCCCCCCTATTCTTACCTTTCTACTTATCCATGACAAAAATTCTATATATAAATACATAAACACTCACTCAGTGACTCAAAGCTCACTAACAAGTACCATAACAAGTCCTTTCAAGTCCAGTTCAAAAGGCAATTCAAAAACAGGGCCTCTTCTTTCTTCTAATCCTACAGAGATGGGAATCCATTTGACAGGAATAGCAAACGCAAAGCAAAAGCTACAGAGAACACTTTCGGAGAAATACGGGATTGGATCGGCGGTCACGAATGTTCCTAAAGGGCATTTCGCAGTGTACGTAGGAGAAACAAGGAAGAAGAGATTTGTAATTCCGATATCGTACCTGAATCATCCATTGTTCAAGGATTTGCTGAACCTGGCGGAAGAGGAATTTGGATTCGATCATCCAATGGGCGGCCTCACGATTCCTTGCAGCGAAGACTACTTCATTAGCTTAACTTCATCCCTAAATTGTTCATAAATTCGCAAGCTCCTTCTTCTTCTGCCCTAATTTGACATTTTCTTGCTTCGATTCTGTGTTTTTAGTCAGAGAATTGAAATCGAGAGATTCAATCAAAGTTGGTCTCTGTGAATTTTGTATCAATTTTTTTTTTAAGAAATTTTTTTCATCGTCATTCATTGTTCTTCCTAATTATTATCATCATTTTAAACTTTGCGGTTCCAAATTATAATTTCCATCTCTTTTATTTTTCTTCTCCTCAAGTATAGTAGGACAATAATTTATATATATATATATATATATATATAATCTTTTTAATTAATATATATAATTTTTTTAAAAAAAATTGAGGTTCAAATTCTCCAAAATTTACTTATTGTCAAAAATAAAATTATTTAATTTTTAATAAAAATGTTTTAAGCTAAAGTATTTATTTTAATATTATGTTTGAAAAAATAAACTTTTAAATCCAAACATTGTTTTAAAAAAAGCTTAGACTAAGTTAAAAAAATTATTTTAAAAGTGAAAATGATTTTAATTTAAATACTGCTAATAGATATTGTCCATTTTAGCCTATTATGTATAGTCGTCATCCTCATAGTTTTAAAACACGTCTATTAAGGAGAGAGAATTTTTTGTTACTCTCTCTAACCGACGTGAGATCTCATGCTCCACTCCTCTTGGGGGGTTAGCATCCTCGTTGGAACACTGTCCAATATGGGATATCACATCGGTTGAAGAGGAAAACGAAGCATTTCATATAAAAAGTGAGGAAACTTTTCCTTAGCAAACACATTTTAAAATTGTGAGGATGTCGGATATACATAACGAGCCAAAATAGATAATATATTCTAGGGATGTGCTTGAACGGTTACAAATGGTACGGTCAAAGCAAGTCACTCGATCGGACTAGGTGTTACATATTTTTTAACAAAAATTCCAAAATGGTTTTGGGATGTCGGAAAAAATGTCAATATGTATATTTCCAAAAAGATATCGAAGTAAAAAAAAAAATTATGCAAAAATTTAAAATTAAAATATTATAATTTATTTAATATTTCATTGATTTTTTTGCATTATAATAATTAAAAAAAAAACATTATTCATCTTGTTAGACGAACACGACTCTCCACAAGTATGGTATGATATTATCCACTTTGATTGTAACCTCTCATGACTTTGCTTTGGGCTTTTCCAAAAGGCTGCATACCAATGAAACACTATTCTTTGTCTATAAACTCATGATCATTCCTTAAATTAGCCGATGTGGGACTTTCATCATCCAACACCTCCCCTCGAACAAAGCACGTCTCCCCTTAATCGAGGCTCGACTCTTTTGGAGTCTTAGTCATTTTTTTACTGCCTTCGTACCTTCGAGGAGGCTTGACTCATTTTTCTTTTTGGAGTCTTTTGTTCGACATTTGAAGATTTACCAATCTATTAGCACGACTAAGTTTAGAACATGACTTTGATGCCATGTTAGACGAATACGACTGTCTACAATGGTATGATATTGTCCACTTTAAGCATAAGCTCTCATGACTTTGTTTTGGGCTTCCCAAAATGCTACGTATAAATGGAGGGTAATTATTTTATTCTTTATTAATAAATGGAAACAAAAAAATATATATTAAAAAAATGAAGAGCAAGAAACAAAAATATTAGAACCCTAAATTATTCTCGATGAACAATACAAAAATTATTATACAACGATAATTATTAAGAATTAAAATAATTATGAGAGCAGGAAATCATGAATTAAGATTTGATTTCTTTCACGAATTCGAGTATAATTCAATTAATTAAGATATATGTCTTTGATTTATGATGTCAAAACGTTCAAGAAAATTATGTATCGACTTTCTGCTAGCAAATTAAATGAAGTTGTTAAAACTAATTTGATCGAAGCATAATTAATTAATCGAGAAACAAACAAAAAAAAACATTATCCACTCGTGTCTCTAAAAATTTATAAAAATGTTTGAAAGAAAGAGGAAGTTTTTTATAGGTAATATTAATAAGTAAAAGTTATATTTTTATAATCATTTATAGAATTAAATAAATTAAAAAAAATATGAAAATAACAATAAATAGGGAGGACAATAAATGGATACGAGATATTTACTATAATAAAAGTCAAATAATATAATACTAATAAAAAATATTTGTCTATAATAAAAAATCAAATATGATATATGATAAACTATAATTCATGACTAAATATTAACGCTCAATTATATTTGATAATTATCCTGATTTTTTCTTCTTCAAATTTTATGATGTCCGAATAAAAAATGAGTACATAAATGAAACGAGACTGCATTCAAATGAGAATAATTCTAAGGATATAATGATTAAAAATGATTTTAAAAAATTGATAGTTCGGTGACCTTATACTTTACGTGAAAACGAGTCGTAAAATCCAGTACAAATCGTTTTTTTTTTTTTTTTTTTTTTTTTGAAGATAAGATGACGAGCCACCTCTAAAACAAAACAAGATCGTTTACGATCCTACAAAAATGAATTGAAAATTTTGTTAAGACGAAGAACGAAATACGAAACTGTGACAAAGAAGGTCTTCCGTCCCCTTTTTGTAGGCATCTCTAGTCATGTTCGGGTCGGCAAAAACACGATATAAAGTACTACTATTTTCAAGACATAATTGTACGTATTTGAGAGTTGTGAGCCGACGTAGAACGGCCGTGTCTGGCGGAGGATCGTTGAGGCCTTTAATGGAAGGGGGCCGTCGCAGGCTGTCGCCTAACGAGCACTCTTCCGTACAGCTGAAGCTCTTATACAAAGAATAAAACCTTCAAGGTTCCATGCACAGAGCCATTATTCTAGCTTCTTTCTCACCTTCTATTTGCTGACAAATCGTATTCATTTCGCCACACCCCGTTCGATCTAGTTTACGTGCATCTCGACTTTAAAAGGTTTTGTTTTTATTCATTTCGCCACACCCCGTTCGATCTAGTTTACGTGCATCTCGACTTTAAAAGGTTTTGTTTTTATTGTATGGTATGTAGGTAAGGACAACGTCTCGATTGATAAAAGATTTTTTTTGCATAAGACAAAAAAGTGATGTCTCGGGAACTTAAATCTTAAGTCTGTTGAACTATGAAATAAAAAAACGAAAGAAAAGAAAGTGATGTCTCGGGAACTTAAATCTTAAGTCTGTTGAACTATGAAATAAAAAAACGAAAGAAAACCTGAAATGGGTCTATTCGGTATTGTAAAATCTCGAAATTGAAAAAAGCAAACGAATTCAAATTTTAAGTTTTAAAAACCACGAGACTGATTGCGTTACGTAACAGGCCAAAATGTACAATATCTACTAGCGGTGAACTTGAGTTGTTACAAATCATATCAAAGTCAGACACCGGGCAGTGTGCTAGCAAAAATGCTAAACGGGATAGATTGTGAGATCCCACATTGGTTGGGGAGGGGAACAAGATATTCCTTATATAAGGGTGTGGAAACTTCTATCTAGCATGTTTTTATATCGTAAAACTAACGACCATACGTGACAGGCCAAAGCGGAAAATATCTATTAACGATAGGCTTGAGATGTTACATAGACGAACAAGATCTTTTCAGTGAAACAACTCATCGACTTTATCGAGAGGCCAATATCGAGGACACGAAGTCAAATTTCAATGAGGCCTCCTTGTAGCCCTAGATGCTCGGGTTGGCAAATGCTTTCAACTCGTGGAACAATATTAATAACAATGTACACTCGTATATTTTGAAAATTTTCATTTAAACCCTTNGAGTAAGGTAAAAACACAAACATCACCCAACAATTATTTAAATGGATTCTACCCTTTCGATTCGGTAAAAATGTATATTCTCGATCAAAAAGTCATCACTCGTATTTAAACATGCAGATAGTTAGAGATCACTATCATAATGTCAGTTTAAGGACGGAGTAAATTTTTATCGGTACAATACTTTTTACACGAGAAAATAAAATCACATGCAGCTTAAGTTAAATTTAAAAGTGTATGATTTAACGACAGAACCGTACTTTCAAACGTTGTCGATAGAGATCTCTTAGTGTCTGCCATCATGTTTTAGCTAAATAGAACAGAAGACTGCAAAACAGGAGCGTGCTTTTCTTTTCTTCCTCCTTTACATAAGATAATAAGTTGACTTTGGCTCGAGATTCTCGATATTTTTTCTCGAGATCTTTTTCGGTCAATGATGAATGAAATTATAATGCCAAGTTGACATATAAAGTCAAACTCCACTAAGGTCTCCTTCTCTTTAACTACATGTGTTCCTTAAGTAGTGGAAGAGAATGGAAGACATTCTATACATTTCTAGAGTGGTTTTTTAATTAGATTTAAATTTTATTTTTATTTTACTCCTTCAAATTTCAAAAATAAATAAATAAATATATATATATAATTTCTTTTTATAAATTATTTTATCACTTTTATTATTCGAATTAATTTATATTTCAATTTTTGGTAATTAGATAAATATTNGATCTTTTTCGGTCAATGATGAATGAAATTATAATGCCAAGTTGACATATAAAGTCAAACTCCACTAAGGTCTCCTTCTCTTTAACTACATGTGTTCCTTAAGTAGTGGAAGAGAATGGAAGACATCCTATACATTTCTAGAGTGGTTTTTTAATTAGATTTAAATTTTATTTTTATTTTACTCCTTCAAATTTCAAAAATAAATAAATAAATATATATATATATATTTTCTTTTTATTAATTATTTTATCACTTTTATTATTCGAATTAATTTATATTTCAATTTTTGGTAATTAGATAAATATTTATAGTGCGTTTTAATAGGTGTTCGTAGAATGGGTTAGGTCGTAAATTTTTTCAACTTAAACAATTCTTATTAAATAATCAACTCAATCTAACCGAACCATAAATTTCTTGAGTTGGGATGATTCAGATTGTTCAAGTCATTTATTTAAATTTTTATTTTTAATAAAACTAAAATATTAGTTCGTAAAACATTTATTTATTTATATTTAAACATTTAATTAACAATTACTACTCAAATTTAATAATATTTTTAAAAATTACCTCCAAATAGTAAAAAAATTATTTTTAAAAAATCATAAAAAACTAAATAATAATAAAATAAATATATTTGTATGGTAAATAAAAATATATTTTTTAAAATAACAATAAATTTTGATGGGTGGAACTG